ATCAACAAAAATAGTACCATTCGATTCTCCTCGACGAGTAGATTATTTTAGCATTTTTTCTTTTTCGATTTCGTCAACTTTTGCAACATCATTTCCGCAATGTCGCATTTCGACTTTAACGATGTCAACCACAATGGGTTGCAAGATGCTACACATCTGCCACCATCTACTGCTCCGATGACACCCGTTCAGCTACAAGCTTTAGTTCTACAACTTTCTGCTACTGTAGAACATTCATCAGTCATTTCTGACCTCTTAGCCTTGAGAAAGGAAAATGAGCAGCTCAAGGCTCAAAATGCTTCTCTGATCGCGAAGATGACCGAAATGGAGAAAACCATTTCACATCAGAAGACGCAATTGCAACATCTCTCTGTTACAAACAAAGTTTCTGAAGCTCCCAAAGTCTCTGATACTGATGGTAAGTCACAAAAGGAGGGTAACTCCTATTCTGACGCTGCCAAACGCGCCCCCAAGACCCCTGCCCAAGTTACCCCTGCCCGCCCGCTGAAAAAGCGTATCTCTGCTGCCCGGCCCTTCAGGTCCGCCGAGGCTCAAGGCCCCAAGGGCTTTGAGTACGTCTACCTTGGCCGATCCAGAAAGATCAATCGATCTGAAGTTCGCTCTCGTCTCCGTCGTGCTGGTGTTGATACTGGCCGTATCCTTGACATCTCGTTTCCTGCCTCTGGTGTCCTTGGCGTTCTTGCGCATACTCAGTATGCCAAGAAGTTCATCGCCATTATGACAAAGGCGCAAGCCCAAGTCATTGAGGACTTTGACCCGCTCGACCCTGCCCACTTGGCCGATCCCAAGTACGCCTCTCTGTCCGAGACCGAGCGTCTCCAAGAAACCTTTTCCTTGGTCCACCAGCGGGCCATGAATACCCTCTCTTTTGTTCGTCCTGTTTCTGTCGCTGCCGTCGGTCGATTCTTCGTGGAATTGTCATGGATCGATGACAATGATCTCCTCCTGGCTCTACAAGAAGCCAAAATCCGCCTTGCTAAGGAAGATCCCAAGCAGGCGGATTTCGTTTTCCGTAACCTCCCTGCTCCTGCCCCTGAGTTCTCTGATGAGGAAATGGATATCTAATGAGAGTCCCCTCATCAAGAACCACTATGACTACCCCTTCCGCTCCTTCTTCCTCTCCCTCTGTCCTCTCCTCCTTACGGCTGGCATTATGGAATGCTAATGGTCTTCGGGCCACTACCGTCCATGATGTCCTCTCCCATTCTCGTGATGCTGCTGATGTCCTCTTTATCACCGAAACCTGGCTTACCTCTGGTCTCTTGCCTACAAACTGGTCCCAGTACCATTTGTATGGCAAGCCCGTTGTTAATGCTCATGGTCGTGGTTCTGCTGGTATCTGTTGTCTTGTCTCTCCTTCCTGTCCTTTCCTTGTTCATCAACTTCCGTCCTACAATGCTCATACTTTGTCAATGAAAATTGGCCGAGTCACTGTCCATTGTCTTTACCTCCCTCCCAGTCTATCCTCTGAACTGGCGCTCTCCGTCTTGAACTCCCTTCCCTTGTCCTCTGACACCGTTCTCTGTGGTGACTTCAATGCTCGTCTTGGTGCTCTCACAGGTGATCTGGTGGTCAACCCCCGTGGTCGCTCTCTCTTGCCTTGGCTTGGTGAACGTGCTCTTCGGGTCCTTAATGCTGAACTCAGTCATGGTGTTGCTACCTTTACTTCGTTTCGACGTAATGTAGAGGTTAGTAGCATCATTGACTTGTTTCTCACCAACATCCCTACCTCTGGTATGGTCTCTCCTTCTCTCTCGGTGGAATCTGATTTATCCCTAGGCTCAGATCATCGCTTGATGTTTCTGTCCTTTGGGTATATCCCCTCCAACCCCCGTGACGATGACTCTTCCTCCTCTTCTGTCTTGGCCCCTCGTCGACTGTGGAATCTCTCCCGGCTGAACGAAGTGGATCCCTTGCTTCTGTACCGATCTCGGTTCCATTCTTTGGTGGCTCCCCTGGCGGCTACCCTCTCTGAATTGGTCTCTTCTCCCTCTGGTGCTCGTCCGCCGATAGACTCGCTCAATGACTCGCTCAACGAGTGTTTCTATCGTGCACTAGATGACTCCATTGGTCCAAAGGCTTCCCGCCCAGGTTACTGGAAGAAGTACTGGACCCCTCATCTCGAAGCTGCTGCTCGTGAGCGGGATAGGCGATACCGTATGTGGCGTCACTCCCTAGGTGTGGACAAAGCCTACTGGTGGACCCTATACCAAGATGCTCATCGTTCCTTTCGTCATGCTGTTGCTGCTGCTAAACGTCTCTCTTGGAAGAACTTTTGTGCTTCTCTTGAAAAGGATTTCTCGAAGGCTACTGCCACTTTGGCTCGGCTCAAGCGTCGCAAGCAGGCTTCCTCCTCTTATACCCACCCAGATGGTCCACAGTCAGCGGTTGATACCATGGCTGCCCATTTGGCAACGGTATATGATGGCTCGCTCCTCTCCTCAGCGGATCGTCCGGCTCCCCCTCCTGATTTCTCAGGTAGGGTCCCGTTCGTTTCTGGCTTCCCCTCTTCTTCTCTGGTCCCTGATTCTGATCTTGGTCTCTTCTCTGTGCCTTCCATTCTCAAGCACATCCAGCAATTGCCCAACCGCAAGGCACCGGGTCGCGATCACCTAAAGGCAGAAATGCTGAAGGCCGTGGCCACGGACCTTGCACCGGTGCTGTCTTCTCTGTTCCAGATCTGTTATCAGTGGTGCTACACTCCTACCTTGTGGCGTCAAGCCCAGGTGTTCCCTATCCATAAGAAAGGTGATCCTCTAGATCCATCCAATTATAGGCCTATCTCTCTGACTTCGGTGATGCGTAAACTCTTTGAGTTCTGTCTGGCTCCCGCTCTCTTGTCCTCTTCTCCGCCTCTGGATGTCGCACAGGGTGGTTTCCGTCCTCAACGTAGCCCTCTGGATCAGGCCCTCTGCTTGCATGACCTTATGCATGACTACTTCCTCTCTCACCACCACTACCCTGTTGTGGCCTTTCTGGATATCAAGGCAGCCTATGACACTGTCGATAGACGTGTTATATGGCGTGCTCTTACTGACTCTGCTCTCTCCCGCCCGATCCTTGGTTTGCTGATTCACTTGTTTGATGACGTCCAGGTCTCGGTGCTTATCGCCAACCATTCCTCCTCTTTCTTTTGGCCAGCTACTGGTGTCCTCCAAGGTTCCGTGCTGAGTCCCCACCTGTACTCTTTGTACATCAACTCTCTCCCTCTCTCTTGCGTTCAGTTGCCTCTGCCAGTACTACTTCGGTGTGTCCTCCTGGTATGTCCCGTCCACTTCCACTCAACTGCCTTCTTTTTGCTGATGATGTTGCTATCTTTGGCTCATCTCATGAAGTGCAGCAGATGTTGGATCTGGCTGCCTCTCACTCTCGTTCTCTTGGCTATCGTTGGAATCCTTCCAAGTGTGCTGTCCTGAACGCCCCGTCTCCTTCCTCCTCCACTACGTCCAACTTTCGGTTGCGTCTTTATGGCGAGCCCCTTCCGACTGTGGACGAGTTTGTGTATCTTGGTGTACATACCCTTCCGCAGTAAAGGTCTCTACGGTCCTGGCATCCTGGCTTTGCGTTCCTCTGGTGCTGTCAAAACCATGGCTCTGCTAAACTCGGTCGGTGTCAACCGGAATGGTTTCTCTCTTCTCCTCTCCTCGCGGCTGTATACTTGCTTCATTAGGCCCAAACTTGAGTATGGCCTGGCCATCTCTCGTTTGACATCCTCGGATGTAAAAGCCTTGGACAAGTTGCAGAATAGGTTGGTTGGTATGTTCCTGGGTAGCTCTTGGGTTAATGTTGCTAAGCACATTACCTGTATCCATCCGTTTCTCCATCGGTATAAGGTCTGATGACTCGCTACGTCTCCGGTCTCGGTCTCTGGCAGGTGATTGCTTGGTGATTCTCTTACGAGATAGCCTGCGTTATCCTCGCCTGGTGCAGCTTCTCTCCGAGAACTCACTATACCGTTCGCTTCCAGTCCCTCCACCTACATCCTCCTCCGCTCTCAAGGCTCTCTTTGACTCCCATTGGCAAGAGCAGTTTGACCGTCAAATGTCATCTGCTACCTCCTCTGGTAAGTTCGCTCTCCTCCGCGCTTGTCGTCCTTCTGTATCACGGCCGGATCCTATCCTCTACCTTCCCATGTCTCGTACTGCCCGTAGTCGACTGGTTCGCTGGCGGCTTGGTCGCTTTACGAACATGGATGAAGAGTGTCCTTGCGTCTCTGGTGCTCGCCTCTCTCGTGATCACTTCCTGGTGTGCCGCGCTATCGATCCTTCTCTGATCGAGCAGCTGCCCCCTTCCCCTCCTTCGGTCAACCGGATCGATCATGCTCTTAACTCTCTCCCTCTCTCTGCCTCTGATGGCCCTCCTCCTTTCTGGTCGGCCTTACTTTCTCTTTTGTACGTGGTTGACACTCTGTGTCATCCGCTTGCTCATATCGCTCCTGATCCCGATCCTGGTGATTCATGGTTTTCTGTTTCTGCCTCTCCTCCTTGATGAAATGTATCTTTTTGTCTTCTAATTGCGTCTCCACGGTGGTAAGTGAGTATCAAAGTTCCCAGCTGTTGGTAGTACCTTTAGATCATCAAGTTTACAAACTAGTCCTTTGCCTCTCCACTCCTTTCCTTCGACTGTTTTCCCCTTGTTCGCTCCTCAGGGGTTTTTTACTCTCTTTCTCCTTTATGTATGTTATACATACTGTAATTTGTTCATAGTATTAGGCTTATGCTCTATAGAGTGCCCATTATAATACTTATCAATAAACGAAAAACTTTAACCTGAGCTACATCCCCATCTCTTCCCGATATTTTTAATTTTTTGCTATTTTTTTCAGCAAAAAAAAGAAAATCGCTCATATCTCAACAACTACTGATTGGATCGAACTCTAGTTAGCACCATTCGAATCAGCGTATTTCATTTACCCATATAGTTTATTTTCAGCCTGATTGAACGACTCTTTGCAAAAAAGTTACAATTGCATCTCGTTAATGGCAACTCCATCTTCTCCTCGAATCGCTGGAATTGAGGGTACCTTCACCCCTGCAACTGCACAAGCGTTTATAGAATATGTTCAGTCACGCCTTGGACAATTTGAAACGCGCATGTCTGAACACGATACTCTATTTCAACAACTTACGCAACTAAAAACTGAAAATGCCGAATTAAAAAAACAAAATGACGATTTGCGACGTGAGATGTCTGAATTGCGATCGCAATTAACCCATCAAGGTGGACATCTGCAAACTTCAGTTGATCCCACTGCTCCTACTGTCTCTTCTGATGAGGTTTTACCTGTTGGTAACACCCAAACCGCTGCTGCTACCTCAAAAAACTTGAACAATCAGCCAACTTTCGCCTCTCTCGCCGCTAAACCCCCTGTTTTTAGCCCTGCCAACCCCGGCAAAAGACCTTCCGCTCCTCTTCCTGGCCGCGCTGCCTCCAAAAAGCAAAGAATTGCTGCTGCCCGTGCCTTCAAAACCCCTCAAAAACAGGGTCCACAGGGTTTTGAGTATGTTTACCTTGGTCGTTCACGTCGAATCGACCGTAGTGAAGTCCGTTCTCGCCTCCGCCGCGCTGGTATTGATACTGGCCGTGTTCTTGATGTCTCTTTCCCAGCTTCCGGGGTTATTGGAATACTTTTACATACCCAGTATGTAAAACATTTCAAGGAAGTCATGACTCGTGCTGAGGCCGAGATCATTGAAAACTTTGACCCCCTTGACCCTGTCCACCTGGCCGATCCCAAGTTCGCCGGTGCTTCTGATGATGCTCGTGCCTCTGCGATGTTGGAGCTGGTGTATAACCGGTGCCAACGCACCCTCAAGTTCGTTCGTCCCCTTGTGGTTGGTCCTTTGGCCAAGTTCTTTGTTGAGCAAGGCTGGTTTTCGCAAGAAGATGTTCAGCAAGCCCTTCGTGTTGCTCGTCGCCGCCTTAAGGAAATCAATGCTGTCCAAGCGGCTTTTGCCTTCCGTGGTATTGATACTGCATCCGAGAGTGATAGCTCTGTGGATGCTGACAGTGAGTCTGATATGTCATATTAATGACATCTCATCGACCCACACATAGTATAACTACCTCTCGCAACACTATACCCGCCGAATCATATACCCAACAACAACCATTACATTCCTTTTCTATTTCTTTATGGAACGCAAATGGCCTCCGTGCCACTACAATTCATGATGTACTTTCCCATACTCAAGGCTCTGATATCCTGGTCATTACTGAGGCTAATTGAAGGTATATCACCGGCAAAAATCCAATTGCCTAATTAGGCAATTGGGAGGTACTTAGAGAACTAATAGAATATACAAAGTAGAACTATGCACGTAGCGCAGTAGGTAGAGCGTTTGACTCACAACCTGAAGGTGTGGGTTCGATGCCTGGTGGCAACTTTTTTTTCATGTATCAATATGGTGCGTGCAGTCCTAATTTAGTTAGCAGCGTAGAAATTGTTTTTTTTTTATCACTTTTTTAATTGTTGAATTGACTTTGTGTTGCTTTTTTTGTGCAATACTATGTGATAATAGAAAGAACAGGCAATTTTTGTATGTTTTTATCTGGTTTATAGATAAAAACTAAATCATAATTGTGATTAAATTTATCTCCTTACCAATATCTTATTTTGGTTTGATGTAAAGCATGTTTCTTTTTATAAGGTCATAATTTATTAAATTTTTTGGAATTCAATAAGTTGAACGATAGTATACATGTATTCAATAGTCAAATATCAAATTTCATCGAGATCATCAAGATTATCGACGTCATCCAAATCAATAAAACTATTGCTATCATCCGGATTACTTGACGTATATGTAAAATCCGTCAAAAATGCTGGATTCCTGCTAGCTCTATCGAAAGAAATCTCTTTCAAGCACTTCATTATACCGTTGAATATATCTCCATAATGCTTTCTACGCCAAATAAACTCAATTAACGCCCAGGGAACCAATTGCTTTGTTCGCAGACGTGCAGGAATGTTACATTTGATGCCACACCAGGTACCTTAATGATAATGATACAGAAAAGAATAATTAATGCTGAAACTTACATACTCTAATAATATTTGCTTTTTTTTAAAAAGTATTATGTTAGTACCTTCTGTTGTATCCAACAGCATATTACTCTTGGATTATTACATAATACTGAAATAAGAGATTGCGGATCCTTATGAAGGTTAGAATAACCGTGAGTGATAGGTTTGTTAGAACAATTCTTTTCTTTAGCGGAAGAATATTTCATCTGTATATCCGAGACAACATTGGATGAGTAATTGACTTCATTTAGAAATAAGATATTATAGTATTTGGATTTGATTAAATCAGATAACTTTATTTAGCACATCAAACCACAATACATAAATCTAATCTATTTAAGCTATTATCTTCTAACTTGTTGATCCTTACTTTAACCCTTTACATTCTGACAGAATTCAATAAGACTGAAACGTAGACGTCGGCAGAATTAAGGAAGAGTTTATCCTGTCCGTCACGTTAGTTATAATGAAACTGCTGAAGTACGGGTCAAAGGAACCTTTAGTTAGATCAACCCACTTACCTCCTGTCACCGATCCAATCGGTCAAGGCACCGCTATAGCATGATGAACCGTGCAGTAACAATTGGGTATGTCTTTTCTTTTATCATCAAGGCATCTTGTACCTAAGAGTCTCGATAGAAAAAGTTTTTTACAATATCCACAAATATAAATAGAAGTACTTTTTTCCTACATGGTTTTTGTCTTCATTCTTAATGGAGTTCTTTATCAGAATATTCTACCTAATAAAAGAAGATAACTTGGTCTTCACTGATTTCCTTTTGTTTTCTTTTTCTTATACTTTGATCTTATCGTATACAACATTTTTTTCAGTGAATCACTCAAGATGTCTATCGAGAATATTGTCACTGATTCGAAGGCTGCTGGTGAAGTAGTCAAGAACTCTGCTGCTGCTCTTGGTGGATCTTCTACAGGTGAAGGTGACTCTACGCAAGTAGTAATTGAAGAAGAAGGTGTAGATGCAATGTGCATCGTGGACGACGACGGTGATGGAAACTCTCCAGCCCTGAGCGCTGGTACTGGTGTGATGGATGACACGTCATTTGTCGTAAACACAATTGAAGACTTTCGCAAGGAGCTGGTAGAAGACATCAGCAAACTGTCTCGTGCTCGTGCAATCGGTGATATGGAAGCGTTTGATGCTGCGATGGTTAAAATGGACAAAACTCGCAGAGCAATTCATAGCTTGGAAGCGAATGCAGCTCTGTTGAGGAAGGGTTCTGAAGACATTTCGTCTGTTGGTAGTGGCACAAGTAGACTCTTTGACCCTGTTGGTGAGAAACGTGGTTTAACGCTGAACCGCAGAGACCTTCCGAAGTTCCAATTGAGTTCTGACGTATTTAAACGTTATCCCGGTGAAGAGGTGTTCGAGTCGGTTGACCATTATTTACGAACCTTTGAACAGATCATTAGATCTTCCTCAATTAGAGACATTGAACGCTACTGGAATGACCTCATCCCTTTGTGCCTTCCCCCCGGTGACGCTGCATGGGTAGACAAGACGCTTTTGAAGTGTACTAGCTGGTCCGATGCGAAGGTGGAGTTCCGGAAGTATTACGGATCAAGAACTGCAAAACGTCGCTTTGTTGAGCAGGTCTACACTATGAACATGGCGCCGAAGGACAACATTATTGATTATTCCAGGAGATTTCTCCAGATGATGCATGAGGCGGGCATCCCCAGCACGGATGAAGGCGTGGCCGATCGATTTTTAACTTCCTTGCTTCCTCCCGTTCAAACGGTACTACGTCTGTCAATGGCTACGAATAAGGATGAAAAGTGGACCGTTGAGAAGCTTAGTGAACTCGCTAGAGATGTATTAGGTGACGACCAAACCACCTATGGCTTTGCCACTGCTCTCTTGCCAGGTGGTGCTACGAAACCTTATACAGCTTCCATGCCATATCAAGGAGGGGATAGACTTAGCAAAAGAATGAAGTTGAAAGAGGTCAGCAAAGGTGGCCATGGTAGCTCTTCTTCTGGTACTACTGCAAGTAACAGGTTTTTCTGCAAGCGACACGGACAAAATGCTACACATAGCACCGACACTTGTTTCTCGTTGAAGAACGAACAAGAAAAGAAGAACAAGGTGAAGAAATTTGAGCAAGCAAAGAAGGAAGGCAAGTGCTATAAGTGTGGTGAAAGGTACGGTCCGGGTCATGTTTGCAGGAAGCCAACCACCGTTTTGGCGGTCAGAGGAGGAGACGACACAACTGAGCCCACTGTGGATAATGATTTGACCATTGAGTCAATTGAACAAATGGAGCAAGAGCTTAAAATGGTTCCCGTTGCTGCGGAGGACACTTTTATGACTGATGCCTACAATTGTAAGTCCAATGTTACTTCTAATTATATTGCACGTAAGAATCCATTAAATCTAATGACTCCTATTAAAATAGAGGGCAAGGTCTTGATGGGTCAGATTGATACAGGCAGTAATATAAGTTTCATTAATACCAATAGTTTAAAACATTTATCCATAAATAAAGTTTATTCATTGAATGGTACTTACAATATGTTAAATGATAAGAATAATGTTCCCCGTATTGGTAAGACTGACTTGTTGAGAGTTGGCTATACGAATGGTATTGAGTTCAAACATTCTTTTGAAGTTATGAAATTCAATGAGCATTTTGATTTTGATGTGCTTTTGGGTGTGGACATTCTACCTAAGTTGAACATTTCTCTTCATGGTGTTGCTTGTAAGTTAAATAATCCAGAAGAAATGGCGAAACAGTTTGACAATGTCAATCATGAATTCGATGTTGAACACCTTCCTGATTCTTCTCCTGCTGGTACTCCTATTGAGAGAAAGAAATTTATGGATGCTATTAGTGAAGCACTTCAAGCTAATGCTAACATTCCTGAGACATCATCTTGTCCAATCCCAGAATCTGTGGTACGTCTTCCTACTCCTCCTGATGCAACTGCATACAGAAGACAGTATCCAATTCCAATTGCGCTGAGACCTGTTTTAATTGAGCAAGTGCAAAAGTGGTTGAAAACGGGAACAATTGTCAAATGTAGAACAAATACAACTTTTAATAGTCCATTGTTGCTGGTACCGAAGAAATCCAAAACCGGAGAAATAACTGGACATCGTGTTTGTCTTGATGTACGTTTGCTGAATAAAATTCTGCCTCCATCATTTAATTATCCTATTCCATTGATTAAGGATATTTTTAAGAATCTGCAAGGCAAGAAATATTTCACAACGATTGATTTGTCAAATGCATACCATCGTTTCGAGGTGACTGAAGAAGATCGACATAAGTTGACTTTTACACATTTAGATGGCAATCAGTATCAGTTTGTAAAAGCATGCTTTGGTTTAAAGTTTTTGACATCACAATTCCAAAAGGTACTCACTATTTTATTTTCAGACCTGAGATGTGTGCAGAACTTTGTTGATGATTGCGTAGTTGCCAGTGATACAATTGAGCAACACATTATCGATGTCAAAGCAGTTATTGAAAGGTTGAATAAGGCGAATCTTATTCTGAATGCTGATAAGTGCAGTTGGATGCAACATTCTGTGCGTTTATTGGGATTTGTTGTGGATGCTACTGGTTCTCGAGTTGATCCAAGCAAAAGAACAAATGTTCAGACTTGGGCTAAACCAAAGACCGCTAAGCAAGTACAGTCATTTTTGGGGTTAATCAACTATTTTAGAGATTACATCCCTAAAGTCGCTGACGTTACTGCTCCTTTGAGTTCCATTAGTCATGCTGCTAATGTTGAACAATTGTGGGGTCCAGAACAGGATAGATCCTTCCAAGCACTGAAAGACATTTTACAATCGAATGTCGTGTTACGTTATCCAGACATTTCTAAACCTTTCTTTGTTGCCACTGATGCTAGTCAATTTGCTATTTCAGGTTTGTTATTTCAAAAAGATGATACAGGTCGTGATTTGTATGTCAGTTTTATTTCACAGACACTATCCCCATCCCAACGTAATTGGAGTACCACCAAGCGTGAATTATTCGCTGTTGTTACCGCACTAAAGAAATTCAAAGAATATCTTTGGGGTCGTAAGTTTACGGTTTACACTGATCATAAGAGTTTAATCTACTTACACACTCAAAAGGTGATGAATCCTATGTTGATTGGTTGGATGGAAACTTTACTTGATTACGATTTTGACGTTGTGCACGTTCCAGGCATTGACAATCGCTTAGCCGATTTATTAAGCCGCTTATATCCACCTCAAATTGAGAGTGAACATAAGCTGGGGGAGAATAGAAGCTTCCCTAGACTTAAGAAATGGGTTAATAAGAAACGTGTCGCTAAACGCAAAGTATATAGTCAAGATAAAAGAATTAATATACTAGCAACTAAATTGGTCGAAAATAAGAACAAACCTGTTGAATATATCAGTCCTCCTGAAGAAGAGAGACAACAATTACTGATCGACATACACAACCTCGGACATGCAGCCAGTGTATATATGGTCAGAGATCTTCATGATCAAGGTTTCCATTGGAACACTATGACAGAAGAGGCGAAAGCAGTAT